TGCTGCTGCTGTTGCTGCTGCTGCTGCTGCTGCTGTTGCTGCTGCTGTTGCTGCTGTTGCTGCTGCTGTTGCTGCTGTTGCTGCTGCTGCTGTTGCTGTTGCTGCTGCTGTTGCTGCTGCTGCTGCTGCTGTTGCTGCTGCTGTTGCTGCTGCTGCTGCTGCTGTTGCTGCTGCTGTTGCTGCTGCTGTTGCTGCTGCTGCTGCTGCTGCTGCTGCTGCTGCTGCTGCTGCTGCTGCTGCTGTTGCTGCTGTTGCTGCTGTTGCTGTGCCCTCTTCACGACCATGTGTGGGGTTCTAAGCGCGCCTCCTTCTTTCATGGGCCTCCTTCTTTTTTTGGTCCTGCCTGTCTCGCTTCGCTGACTCGATCCCCCCCTCTTTCCCCCCCCCCCCCCCCCCCGCCCCCCCGGCTCCTCGCGGCTGTCCCTTGCTCGGGTGCCCGGCGACTCCTCGCGGCTTGGCATGACCCCCGCGGCAGATCTTCCTGCCGGTGCCCTTCACCAGCAGCCCGCGGCAATTCCGCGCGGGCCTGGTCAGCGACACGTACCTACATGCGCAGTTCCTGGAGCGGGTGAAGAAGAACTACGACGAGTACCTGATGACGCCGGAGCTGCTGGACCAGGTGGACACCCTGCGGCAGGATGGGCAGATCTACTCGCGCCTGGCGCGGTCCATCGCGCCGGAGATCTACGGCATGGAGAATGTCAAGAAGGCCCTGCTGCTGATGCTGGTCGGCGGTGTGACCCGGCAGTTGCATGATGGGATCCGCATTCGCGGGGACATCAACGTGTGCCTGGTCGGCGACCCGGGTGTGGCCAAGTCCCAGCTGCTGAAGTACATCTCGGTGGTGGCCCCGCGCGGAGTGTACACCACCGGCAAGGGTTCCTCCGGAGTGGGCTTGACGGCGGCCGTGGTCCGGGACCAACTGACCGGGGAAATGATCCTCGAAGGCGGGGCCCTGGTCCTGGCGGACAATGGGATTTGCTGCATCGATGAGTTCGACAAGATGGATGACTCCGACCGGACGGCCATCCACGAGGTGATGGAGCAGCAGTCGGTGTCCATCTCCAAGGCCGGCATCAACACCAGCCTCAATGCGCGAACGGCCATCCTGGCGGCGGCCAACCCGGTGCACGGCCGGTACAATGACCGGCTGTCCATGCTGCAGAACATCAACCTGCCGGCGGCCCTGCTGTCGCGCTTCGACCTGATGTTCCTGCTGCTGGATGTGCCGAATGCCGATGCGGACATGCGCCTGGCACAGCACATCACCACCGTGCACGCCACTTCCCGGCACCCGGAGCTGGACTTCATCCCGGTCACGGCGGACATCCTGCGCGCGTATGTGGCCCAGGCGCGCCTGGTGGAGCCGGTGGTGCCGGACACCATCGAGTCGCGCAGTCTGATTGATTACATTGTCCGCGGTGCGTTCGCGTATTGGGCCAAAGGGGCAGGGGGGGGGGGGGGGGGGGGGGGGGGGGGGGGGGGGGGGGGGGGGGCGCGGGCGGCAGGGGCGCCGCTTTGCTTTTTTGTTCCCTTTTTTTTCCGCTCTCCCTCCTGGCGTCCTGCGTGTGGGTGTGTGGTTGGGTGTGATATGGGAGTCTTGCGCTAACCCGGGCTTCGGATCGCTTCGCCGTCTCTCGGTGCGCCTGTGGTGCCCCTCGCTCAGCGTATGTGGGCTTGCGCGGTCGCGAGGCCAACAAGCGCGGTGGCGGTGGCGACTCCGGATTTGGGGATGCCCCGCGCCGGACAGCCGACGAGGACAACCTGGACATGACGTACACCACGCCGCGTACGCTGCTGGGCATTTTGCGCCTGTCGCAGGCACTGGCGCGCATGCGCTTTTCGCCGGTCATCGGCCAGGGCGACGTCGACGAGGCCATCCGGCTGATGCACTCGTCCAAGGAGTCGCTCTTCACGCGGATGCGCGGCGGCCAGGAGGGCGGCGCCTCGGCCGGGCGGGACTCTCTCACGGCCATCTACGAGATCATCAAGGATGTGGCCATCGAACACCCGGATCTCCACTGCGAGTGCGTATGGCACAGGGGGCTGGGAGGGGAGGGGGGGGGCGGACGCCGGGCCCCAAGAAAAGGGGGACAGCAAAAGGGGGAGACTGGCCCCGGCCCCGGTCCCCCGGCCTGTGTGGCCCCCCCCCTTTCCCGTCCACCGGACAAGGGCCGACCAAGACGGACCCGGTGTGTCGGGGGTGTGGCGGGTATCTGCCTCTTCCTGTTGGGGGGGTTTCCTCATTGCCGCCCTTGCGGAGAACTAACCTGCGCGATCTGCGTGGCGGCCTCGCGTGTGCGCTCCCTGCTCCCCTTCGCCCTCATCACCGCCACCACCTTCCCTCATCCGCCCTCTCGCAGCGTGCAGCAAGCTCGCGACATCGCCCTCAGCCGTGGGTATACGGCCGACAACTTCGACGAGTGCCTGCGCATCTACGAAGACAACGGGATTTGGATCTTGGACTCGGCTCGCACCGGGCTCACGTTCATCGGGCCAGAGTAGACACGGGGGAAGGCGGCGCGGGGGCGCATGCACACAGATGCGCGGCCCTCCCTGTCCTCTTCCTAACCCGCCCCCGCGTCCTCCTTCTTTCTTCTCCCGATGGATCTGTGCACCTCCTCCCACAAATACACACACACTCTCTCCCTATGTGTCCCTGCTGGTCGGCGGGTAAATGCGTGCTCTTTGAGCGTGTGTTGTTTTTTTTTGTTTTGTTTTTTTTCCGAATCCACCGACCTGCCCCCCTCAGGCTGGGGCAGGGCTGGCAGGAAGCCCCCCCGGGGAGGTGGGCGGTCAAGCCTGGCGTTCTGCGAGGGGGTGGCGGATTGGCTGCCTCGCGGCCGAAAGGTGTTCCACATTCCCTGGCCTGGGGGCGCAGGGGTGGCCCCTCCTGGGGGCACGATAAAATGGCGGTGAGGCGCTTCGTAGGACGATGGGAGGGGGGGGGAGGGAGGATTCGGCCGGCCGGCGGGATAGAGCGGGGCAAAGCAGAACAGCAGCCGGCTGCCCTTGCGGATCGGCGGCTCTCCCCCGGACGGCGGGCGGGGGCCGGGAAAGCCGCCGGATTATGGCCCACACGGACCAGCTCTGTGTGGAGCATTGGCATGTTGATCGTGGCAGGGTGTGTGCTAACGGGCTAATGCGAGGCCTTTTCGCGATGTGCTCCACCAGAACCCGGGCCAGAGGAGGGGCCGGCGCTATTCGGAATATTAACACCGGCCAACGGGGATGGCCAGTGCTCAGCACTTTAGACCCGCCGTGTGATTGGGCATGGGGAGTTGCATTTGGCCGATTTATATCCACCCCGACATATGGAACATATTTGAGATCCCGCGCCGCTCTCCTACGCTGGGGCGTTCGTTGGGCCCTCGCTCGACAGTGGACGATGGGGTGCTGCCAACTCCATTCCCATGAAGGCGCCGGGGACCTTCCTTGGCCGCCCTTTGCCCTGGGTGTTGCACGCGGTGAGCGCGGCCGGCGACATGCTGCACCTCCGAGGCGGAGAGCGCCGCGTGGGGGACGTCTCCCTCCCTTGCCCGACTCTGCCGCCACTCTGCCACACTGCTATTGCCACTGCTATTGCCACTGCTATTGCCACTGCCGTGCCTCCACCCGCGAAGCATGCCTGCGCGGAGCCCGGATCCTGCGTCTGGCCCTGGTTGCACGCTCCTGGCATCGCCACCGGGCTTCTGTGCTGGTTCCTCGTTGTCCGGGGAGTGGCGCACAGTCTTCTTCTGCCGGGCTTTGGAGGATGGCGATGAGCGCCGGGGCTGCTGGCGAGGCGGCGGGCCTGTGTCCTCCCCCCCTGGCGCGAGTGTATGTGCGGATGTTCCCAGGGGGAGGGAAAGAGGGGGAGAGGGGGGAGGGGCACATCGCGCCAGCAACGGGGCCGTCCGCACATGCCCATGGGCATGTGTGTGTGTGTGTGCGCGTGCGCACATGCACGCGCGATGCATCTGACGCGAAAAAAAAACACACGGGCGAGGAGACGCGGACAGGTGTTGTCATTTTCTGTTTTTTTGTATTTTTTAATCCATTTCCGTGCGAGCCCTCTCTCGCATTGCCTCTCCCTGTGGAGGGGGCGGCGCGAGCAGGGAGAGGGCGTGCACGTGTGGTGGGAGATGAGCCGCCGCGAGCGGGCACATATCCGGAGCCGGCGGAGGTGTGCCACGCGTCTGGGATCCAAGAGAGGGGTGGGAAGGAGCGGCGGCCGGCGCGCGGAGGGGATGGCGGCGGTAGCCGGCCAACCCGAGGCAGTGGTGGTGGCACCGATGTGACTGGGGGGGGGTGGAAGGGGGGAAGAGGGGGCAAGGACAGGGCGGCGGCGCGAGCGCTGGCCCATGCCCGGGGGGCGGGCAAAGGCAGCAGCGAGCGCGGCAGTCGCATGGGAGGAGGAGGAGGAGGGCGGCAGCAGGCGCGAGGGGGAGGAACAACGGCGGGCCGGGCCTCGCCAAGGTGGGATGCCACCACCGCCGTCGAGGCCGGCATCCTCTTCGTCCATCTCGACGAGGGGGATGGCGGCGGCCGGGGTGGCGGGTGGGACGGAGCCGAGGGCGGCCGCGCAGCCGGGGCCGGAAGCGCCCGGGCCGGGAGCACAGCCAGCCCCCCGGCGGCCGGGGGGCGGGGCACTGGCGGCAAGCGCGGCGAACGTGGCAAAGCGCCGGCGAAGCAGGGCTGCTGCCGCCGGTCGGGGGGGAAGGGAGGAGGAGGAGGGTCCGGGGGTCGTGCTCGGGGCCGGGGGCAGGCGCCGGGAGGAGCGGTCCGGGCCCGCGGCGGTGGCCGGGGCCGGGGTGACGGCCGAGAGCAGGGCGAGCAGTGTCCCGAGCAGGGTGGTGGTGGCGGTGGTGGTGGTAGGGGCAGGACAGCATGCGGCCGCCAGGAGCAGGTGCAGGGGGGGCACCGTGCGGCCGGCGGCGATGGCGGCCAAGCGGGGGTGGCGTTTGGCCCGGGGAGGGGGGAGGGCCGGAGCGCCGGCAGTGGCGGCGGCCATTGGGCCATGGCGGCCGGAGGCCGGGGCCGGGGCCAGGCAGGGGAGGCAGCGGCGGCCGCGGCAGCGGGGGAGGGCGAGGAGCGGGAGCAGGGAGGTGGCGCCTTGTGGAGGGCGGCGGCAGCGGTGGGGGGGCGGCGGCCGCGGGCGGGCACTCGGCGTGCGGCGGAAGGGGGGGGAGGAGGGGGGACCACCGCCAGCACGGGGGCCGAGTGCCGGGGCCAGGGCCGCCGGGGCCACCACCGGGGCCGGCGCCGCCGGCGCCACGATCTACATGACCAGGCAGCCGCGCTTGCGGTTCTTGGCGTACTGCTCGACGAACTCGATCTGCCGGCTGTTGAAGGCGCCGCGGCGGCGGGTGCGGATGAACTCCACCGCCTCGAGCGGGTCGAACCCCTGGTCCACGAGGGCGGTGGCCACGAGGACCGGGGCCCGGCCGAGCCCGGCCACGCAGTGCACGGCGATCGGCTCCACCGAGGGCATCTGGTCGGCCGGGGTGCCGGCGTTCTTGGCCTTCTCCAGCGAGTGGAGCTGCCCCTCGTAGATGGAGCGGAAGTCGGCGAGGACGTTGCGCGGCGGGGGGTCGCCATCGGGGAAGGGCATGTCCTGTGGGGATGCGGTGGGGCGGGGGTCAGGG